TCCAACTGCGCGGCGGCCTGGTCCGTGGCGGCTACAACAACAACAACAACAACAGCACCAACAGCAACAACAACAACAACAGCAACAGGAACAGGAACAACAACAACAACAACAGCAGCAGCAACAACAACAACAGCAGCAACAACAATAACCACAACAACCACAACACCGGTCAACATGCCAGACCATTAAACCACAGTAGCAGCAACGCCAATGACAGTGAACATCAACACCAATCGCAACGGTTTGACCGAAACGATGACGTTCCTGTTATTGAGTATCGGTGATCACCGCCATATGGCAGTGGTGAAGCTACCAAACGCAACGGCAAGCAATCCCCCCCAAATGGTAGTGACAGGGTGACAGGAAGAAGAGCTGTGGTAGCACAGGCGATTGAGAAGTGGTACTGTGGGAATGGCACGCCCTCAAGCCCCCAAACTTGTTTTGATTGTATTTAAGACTCTCATATTAGCTAAACATGACTCGAGAAGGATCTATCACAGCTGAAACCCTTCTTCTACCGGTAGCTGAATCTGCGAGTGGCCTCAGGTGGGTCTTTGCCTCTCCTTACGGCCAACCATAAGACCTCAATCAAGGTTTTGGGGTTTAGGGTTTAGGAGTTTAGGGTTATGGCCAACCATAAGACCTCAGTGGGGATTTAGGGTTTAGGGTTTATGGCCAACCATACTACCTGTTACCTCAAGGTCGGTGGCTACACGTTCAGGGAGCGTTCAGGTCTTCGGATTTCTCTTTCCGTTTCTTAGGATGGGAGACTGCCTGGAGAGCAAGGGGAAGGCAGAAGAAGCTATAAACAAAGGACGCCAGTATCATACTTTCGAAAGGCCAGGGGCCCGAACCCCAGCAGTTTAGGGTCTGAGGGAATCCTAAGCCCTCTGAAACCTGGAGCTCAAGTTGCCACCCTTAGCGGTCCTAGCGGCCTGAAAGACCGAGGAACGGTTCCATGGAGAACGTCGTGCTCTTCATGAACCTGGCAAATGCCCGGGGCCAAGACTGAATCCTAGAACCAAAGCCCGACTACCCGATTCCTAAAGTCTGTGGATTCTGTAGCTGCTTCGGAGAGCAAAGGCCCCCGAAGAGTCTTACGTTCGCCACATCCCAGAGCTTTGAGGATCCCACCATCGAGCGAATCGTCACGCCCCGATTGGCTTTGACCACGGCAGAATACTTCGCGCTGCCTGTCTGCAGTCATCTTAGTGGTGGGTATGGGGAGGGGGTGTGTAGGTGTCCTTGTCACCTTATTTGTCTTCGTCGTCGTTGTCGTCGTGTCGCGGTAGTGTAAGTGGTCGCCCTCCAGGCGGCGGTAGTTACAACAACTAGCTCTGTTGGTGCTGATGCTGTTGCTATGACTGCCGCTGCGACGACAACAACAGCGACTACGACTGACTCCGACCCTGACGACGACAACTGCAGCGACGACGACTGCTACCATTACTGCTGCTGCTAATACTACTACAGAAGTAGTAGTAGTCGTCGTCGTCGTCGGCGTCGTCGCCGTCGCAATCGTGGTCGTAGTCGTAGTCGTAGTCGTAGTGGTAGTGGTAGTAGTAGCAGCAGCAGCAGCAGCAGCAGCAGCAGCAGCAGTACGACTTCTTCTACTCCTGCTAACGGGCGCTGCTGGTGTCCGAATGCAATCGCTGTCTTCGTGTGCTACTGGATCGAAGTGCTTTCCTCGTTGAACGTATAAGGTTTCGGGCTGCAGAATAAAGTGAATCCCTGCTTCACAGTCTGTGGCGAGCCCCAGACGCACCGAAGCCTCAGGTACACGCGCGAGCAGCACGTGCCGGGCTGGGACAGACCCTGCGAGTTTGGAATTTCGAGGTTGCAGGAGTTAGAACCCGGGTCGGTGGGCCTGAACCTCTGCTTGAAACCCCAAATGTACCCCGAATTCAACAAGAACCTGGAGCCTGACATCTTGGACCCTGAACTCCTAAGCACTCAGGTCTTCGTCATCCTCACAGACATGAGCTCCTACGCCGACGCTCTTCGAGAGGCGCCCTCGGCGCCGATGGGTGTGTTCGGCAGATCTGTAGGGATGAATGGTTTGGGGTTGAGGCTTTCCGTTTTTCAATGTTGCTTTCTAGGATCAAGCGTAGTTTTTCATCAGGGCTCCTAGCGGTAGGGGCAGTTCTGATAGGAAGGACTGTGTTGTTTATCGGACCCACACAGCAGTTATCAGTTCAAGTGCTCGGCTGGCCGAGACTGTATTTATTATGGCCAGGGCTGTGCTTTTGTTTGAAAGCATCATTTGTGCTTCATCTCTGATGATTCGCAACCTGACATGAGCTCTTGGCCTTCCACCTGCTCCCTCCGTGCTCGTCGTGACAAGGAATCATCAAAGAGAATGTTTATTACAGCAGCCTTCTGCCCGGCTGATTCAGAGTGTTTCTCATCGGGACGGCTTCACCATCGTTTGGATGCAGCCGTAACTGCTGAATGCAGCTTCTTAGCAGGCAGCCAATCTCCTTGTCATCAGCATTTGCTTCTGATTCGGCGCCCTCAAACAAAGCCCCTAAAACCTAAGCCCTAAGCCTTTTATCAAGCGGGACTTCTGCTGCGTTGACTTTCTTGCATGTTGCAGGTGTCAGCTGCTCGTGAGGAGGTGCCAGGACGCCGAGGATATCCTGGTTACATGCACCCCCAGCCACGGTTTAAGGTTTAGGGAGAGGGATTGAAATCTTGCCGGTAATGTGCGTAAAAACTGCAGGCCAGCCCTGTTGCTGAAGTCCCCCTTACCCGACCTCGTGATCCGCACGGCTCCTAGTGGTAGGATAACGAAAGGCTCGGGACATGGGCTTAGGGTTTTGGGGTCTATTGTTCTATAAGTATACTAAGGAATCCCAGAAAGAGTATTCCTAAGCCCTAAGCCCTAAACCCCAAACCCAAAGATAGTATTGGTAACTATTCAGGCCCGTTTTGTAGACTGATCCGTCAAGCCTAAACTTCTCTAGAGCCCCAAACCTCGACTTGAATCCCAACGAGGCGTCCCCCAAAACGATGATTAAGGAGTCTTCTATAATATACCCCCAAACCTAGTCTATGATATAGCCCCAAGCCTATTCTATACCCCCAAACCGATTCTTTAATATAACCGCAAACCTATTCTGATTAATTAAGGCCCCTGTACCAAACCCTTTCAGTACCCTTATAGTATCCTTTGAAGGAACCCTTTGAAGGACCCCTGTTCTAATTACTAAGGCCCCTGTACTATATCCTAAACTATATCCTAAACCCTACACCCCAAACCCTAAATCCTAAACCTTAAACCCTAAACCCTAAAGCCTAAACCCTAAATCCTAAGCCCTAAACCCTAAGCCCTTAATCCTAAAACCCGAATCCCTAAACCCTCGGAAGCTCTGCCTTTGCCCTTGCCCGGCCATCCGCGAGGTACACGGCCAGGGCCCCGAGTCCAGGGATTCACGCGGCTTTGTGCTTTTCTTATTTGGTTATAAGTTGTAGGTCCATAATGAGTTTTTGTAGGTTATGGATCTATAATGATTCATTATAGGTTTTAGGTGGTTATAGGTTATAGGTCTATAATGGTTTATGATAGGTTATGGATTTATAATGATTTATTATAGGTTATAGGTCTATACTGGTTTATTATTGGTTATAGATCTAGAATGGTTTATAGATTTTAGATTATGCATTATAGGCTGTAGATTATGTATCATAGATGATGGGTTACACATTCTGTATTACATGTTATATATTTGGTAGTATGTACGATGTAGTGCTGCGCAGGCTTGCAGTTGTGGGGTTTGGTGGCTAAGGTGTGGGTTGGAAGGACGAGGGATTGTCGGATTGCGGGGGCTTCTCCTTGGGCCTCCGAGCCCTCGCCCCAGCGAGTGCGAGCCCACGGAAGCTGCTTTCTACGTTGGTTCAGGGTTCAGGGTTTTAGGGTTTAGTGCTTCTTTCGGCTTCTGTTGAACCAAGCCCTCGCACCTGACGCCGAAGTCTCCCAGCCTCGAAGGCCTGAACGGAAAGCCCCAAGAGGGCCGGGTCTCTAGGTTATGGGGTCTAGGGGTTCATTGGTTCTGGATCTGAGGTTTAGGGCTTCAAACCCACAACCCCTTCGATTTCACAGCCCAGCCAAACAAATCAGGATTTGTCCACCATTTACGAGCGAGCCGGCCGCGTCGAGGGTCGTGCGGGACCCGTCCCAGTGTTCTAACTCTTGTTGTATCATCATCGCCATTATATTATAAGTCGTGGTACTACTGCTTCAACCCGCGGCAACATCGACAACACACGGCCGCAGAGGTTTGGGTTTGGGGTTTAGGGTTTAGGGTCTGGGTTTAGGGTTTTGGGTTTAGGGTTTAGGATTTAGGGACTATAGAGTATGGTGTGCTATGTTCTTTTATAATATACTATAGTATGCCATATATAGACTATATCGGACTTAGTGGACTACAGCAGGTTATAGCATACTGAAGCATACTGACATATGGGTTAACAGATATGATAACCTACTATCGTCTAAGATAGTCTATTGTCATGGCACACGAAAGTATACCGTCGTCGTACTATATTATAGTATTTTACAGTGTATCATAGTAAATTATAATATATTACAGTAGGTTATAGTATATTATAGCACATCATCGTCTATGACAGTACATGTTCGTATTTTATCGTCTGTCGCAGTATGTCATAGTATGTTTCATTGTTGTATAGTATACGGTAGTGTATTATGGATGCCACGGCACTCAGGCAATGGCTCGATCACACAGTTCCCTATTTTGACCATGCCCAACGATGCCGGGGCCTCAGGGTACCCCGTGTGTGAGCTGAGGGTTTAGAGATTAGATGATTAGGGCAAGGGGCGTGATGCGGAGAGTCACAGCCAGCACATAGTCATAGAATTTATGTAGAATCTATATTATATTCGGAGCCGTCGCAACAGCATGCAGAGAAGTAGAAGTGACACCATGGCTGCTGGCAAAATTCGTACTCCGAAGCGCCGCAAAGCAGTCGCACCAGTTTTTGTCGAAGTGATAGTGGTGGTGGTTGGGGTGGTGGTCGTCGTCATGGTGGTCGTCGTTTCGCTACGTTTTGTCGACTTGCCAAGGACATCACCCACCCGATTCCTGACCTCACCGGCTACATCACCGAGGGACAGGCTACGTAACCCGGCACGGGGTTTTCGGGATATCTTTGAGTTCCCGCAGCTTCGGGGTTTGGGCATGCTTTTCGGGAGTTGTGAAGAGGAGTGGGACAGACACTGTTTGTATTTGAGAGTGTCCCTAAATCCGAAACCCTAAACCCTAAACCCTTAAACCCTAAACCCCTGCGATTCTGAAGGGCCTTTGGATGTGTGTCTCGGAGGCTTCAGTGGTTGGAGTGCCCAGACCAGGAATCCGAAGCTTTCAAGTCCAGATCAGATCCCGGCAGGTCCATCCGTCAGTCCTCCAAACCCTAAGCCTTCTTAATATATAATGTAATTTAATATAGTATATTCTTGTATAACATAGCATAATATAATAGAATGTAATATTCATATACTACATTACCTAGAGACCTTTGCCCCCCCCCCCCCCCCCCC